CCCTCCCTCCCTCTCTCTCTCTCCGCTCTCCCCTTTCTCCACCCCCCCCCTCTCTCTCTATCATAATTTCAGCAACACTAAAAGTAGCAACAGATCAGAAACTCAAAATTCAACATGCTTAATTTTAAATGTTATCTAATTAAAGCTTAAGATCTCTTAATATTATCTTTCTCTTAATATTTTATTTTCAAATATAATATTGACAATTATAATATTGACCATTAGAAAATCATAATATACATAATAACTTTTCAGTTATATATTTATTTTGTCAAAAATATTCCTGACATACCTCAAGTCAGGTTCGAGAATAAGGAACAATATTCATTTGCTGGGTGTTCGCGCGTGATGTCACCAACAAGTGCACTCTTGCGGATTGGCTGCAATGCACGTGCTTTTCATTCTTTCCAGTAGATTTGACCATTTGGATTGGTGGATGTACTTTGCGTGTCCAATCGCGCGGCTTGATTCGAATACGCGCGCATATACGGATGTGACGACACGTGGATGCGCAATAGATTGCGTAATCGATGCGTCAAAACGTCATCACGCTTACATAAACTGTGTCACGATCATTGTCAGTCGCGCTACAGTACGTGTTATGTGGTATACTTTGCGCTCCAGGGAAACGTCAGCAGTGTCAGCACTGTAAATAGAAATGTTAGTCTGCGTCCGTTGAAAACGCTTCGTGAAAGAGATCGGGAAGGCGCCGGCCGTCTTCGCGTTGCGCATTGGTGATATTACAGGTGTGATCGGCGTATTCCAACATCGTCTCCACTGGAATCGAAATTAGGTCGTTAAAGTAATCGCAAGAATGGCCAATTCCCCAGTACATAATCCGGTAAGTACCTGCTACACTTTAATGGAACTTTCATTGATCCACGAAGTATCTGCATTGCCGATGTCTTTTGCGTTTTACGGACGAGTCACGAATTTACATATCATTAATTTTTTAACCGTTATTTCTTTGATGTTACTCCGACTGTAGTAATTATGAATTATTAATAATATATATCATTTTAAGTCAGAATATATATATATATATTATTTTGAACGGTTATTATATATAAATTATATATATCATAATTTTTTAATTTAAACAATATTAAATTTTTAATTTTGTTATGTTACTATTTTTAAAAAATTATCTACCTATTTTTTTTCACGTTTGCCATTTTTTTACAATCATATTTTGTGACAGGAAATTCCATATGTGGGAAAAATAGAAGGAGGCCTGAGGGCAGGTACAATGGTGAAGATACAAGGCAAGGTGCCACCACAGGCTGTACGATTTGCTATCAATTATCAGCTCGGACCGACGTTAAATCCAAGAGATGACATAGCAATTCATGTATCTCCGCGCTTTCCTGAAGGCTTTATTACTAGAAATCATATAGAGTCGATGACCTGGGGCATGGAGGAGAATGCTGGCCCAATGTGGATTCAGCCAGGCCAGGAATTCGAGATACTGATTCTATGTGACCATCACTGCTATAAGATTGCCATCAATGGCAAGCACTTCACAGAATTCGCCCATCGATTACCGTTCATAAAAGTTACTCATTTGGTTATCGATGGTGACGTTGAGATACACTCTATCACATATGAACAAGTATTAGTCGAATCATCAAAACCCTCAGTACCAGATGATGTAGAAACTGCTAATTTTGGACCACCACGTAAGGAATCATATTTTTATTTTAATTACAGTTAGTACATACATATTAATACGAATTTTGCAAGTTACTGTAAAATCTACTCACTGAAAATATGATATTACGAAAATAATATATATATTAAAATATAAAATATATTAGAATATATTAATCAGCACATACATATAATTAACTTAGCTCCTTTTACCCTTGTCATCTTCAATTTACTAAACCTTAGGATTATTTCTATTTTTTATCTTAATAAAAGCATTGAAAATTTGTACTTTTTATTTTAGCTCCAGGTGGTTTGTATCCAACGATCCAACCTCAAGGTGGATACGGCCCTCCTCCTGCAACTGGTTATGGTCCTCCCCCTCCGACTGGTTATGGTCCTCCTCCTCCTCCTCCTACTGCCTATGGTGGCCCTGGTGGTTACAATCCACCAAGAGCCTATGGATATCAGCCTGATCAGAAAGCAGAGGAAGAAGGCGTTTTTGGAGATTGTCTGGACAAAGTTGGATTAGCATTAGGTGGATTAGTGGCAGCTGGAGGTGTAGCGGCAGCCATGCATGCGATGAATGTAAAGATATTTAAAGATATTTAAATATTTTTATTATATTTAGATTCGTCATTATATTTATAATAATATATGTTACTTAAATGATATATAATATTAAATACACACGTGTCACTATTTTTAGAAAAAGAAGGAAGAAACCGAAGAAAAGGATCATGAAAAATCAGATGCTTCTAAGTCAAAAACGGAAAGCGAAAGTGGTTTCGGAAATTTAGCTGGATCTCTTGGGATGGCTTTAGCTAGCAGCTTGGCAAGCAATGCCTTGCACAGTAACTCACACGCACAACAAGGCTATCCCGCTCAGCAATCAGGTGGTGGTGGTGGTGGTGTCTTCGATTCTATTTTAGGAGCACTGGGTATAGTATATTTATAACTTGAATTTCAAAAATGTTATATATGTAATTTAATCGGGGATATATCTTGAGATTTTCTGACGAGTTATATGTGTGAATAAAACATCTATGATTTAGTGAAACGAATTGTATCCTTCGGTAATTTCTGTAAATGGATATATGTCGTGATTCAGGAATCTTATAAATCAGAAAATCTGTAATCAAGCGCTAGCGTGACTGTCCGAATGACATCATCGCATCGGAATTATTGCCAACGACGGGCATATTTCTTAGATGAGATAAATAGTTGATTATCTGTGTCCAAGATATATTCTTGATACTGAACCTAGGATATGGTATGTAAATTTAACATAATTTAGGACATCTACTTTATATATTTTTTTTTTATTGATATTAGGCGGTGGAGGATCTCAACAGCCTGCTTATCCAAATCAACCATCTTCTGGTGATGGTCTGAGCGGAACATTAGGATCTCTACTCGGTGGTGTTCTCGGCGGTGGTGGAGGTCATCAGCAACCAGCATATCAACCTTCAGGAGGATATGGTGGATACCAACCATCGGGTGGATACGGCGGCCAAAGTTCTGGCGGATCGGACCTGTTGTCGGGAATTGGATCGGCCTTATTCAGTTCGGCTCTAGATGGTCTGAATAAACGTGGAAAAGATGTAAATAATATATTTCGATACATTTTCGATTTCAGCGATGTATATAATTAAAAAGTGCAAAAGGAAATTCAATAATGTTTTTAAACAATACTTGATGAATTCTTTCTGTGTAGAAATCTCATGACGAATACCGTTCTGGACCTCCTCCAAGTTATGAGCCTCCACCGCCAACACCGCCAGCCCCGCGTTCGGAAACTCCACCGTCTTCAGGTGGCCACAAATTAACTGCGGATGAAATTTCAAAGGGACTTGGGCTGGATGATTAAACGCGTCGGAAGACTTTGACCTGCAAGTACACTCATAGTGACGATCTTATGCTCTCTTGTTGCTTGAAAATGTAATCTACGTATCATTACGAATCTCGTTTATCGAAATATGCTATTTTTATTATTTTTTTATATTTTTTTGATATCAGCGGATATTTAGTTATTAATGGCAGCTGCATCAAATATAAATGTGAGAGAATGCTACTCGATATTATATACGAATCTCATAAACGTTATGAATTCTCATATGGATATTAAGTAGAACTGTAAGTTCCAAAATCGCTTTTAAATACTTTAAAGTTGCATATTTTAGGTAAGACTCAAAAGAAATCAAACACACTGCTCTTTACAAAGTTATACCTTCCATGAAATAGTCCGAATGAGAGCTGTACAAGTATAGCAGGAAGTTAATATTTTTTAAGGTTATATTTTTATATAAAAATTTTATTATTTTATAAGAGTGGCCTTAGCCAGAGAGATATATATATATATATAATATATGCCTTATATATACATTTAAATTACGAATAGTGCACAATTATTATACATATATATATATTTATTTACATTAAAAAATAAATGTACACATCATATATGTATAAAACATTAAAGTATATTAAGTTACGTTCTAAAATCTATTTTTGTGTATCCGACTATGATTGAGAGCATCCGGATGCAGTAATTTAGTGTTCCTGTCTAATAATTTACACATCGCAATGACATCTTGATGTCAAAATCAGAATTTATCAATCTATAACTACGATAGTCAACTAAACTCCGACAATGTTTCTTAAATTGTGTGTAATTTATTCACTTTTTAAAATCTTGTTTATTGAAATACGTGAGACACATACGGTTGTTTTTTTAATACTTATTCCTTAATAAATTTTTAAAATTGGCATATAGATGTGAAAAAATATTTCCCGATATCATATGTAAATCTTATATGTGAATTAATTGCATAAATAAAATTAAGCTCGTTCCGAAATTGCTTTGTAGGATTTTAAAGACTGTATGTCTTAGATAGCAATTTTAAAAAAATAAATATATATCGCTTTTTACTGAATCTTCCATAGTCCAATTATAACAAGGTAAATATGTTTTGAAATTACATTTGTATAAAAAATGTTTTATTAAAACATTAAATTGTTCTTAAGAATATATACAATATATATTTTTTGTATATATTAAACTACGATAATTATGGTCTCTTATTTACAAAGAAAAAATATATATCATTAAAAAATACATTAAAATTAATTAAGTGTCGTTCTATAAATTTTATTTGTGCGTATTCAATCATGATCAAGAGTTGCTGTGGAAGACGTTGTTTCCAGAACCACATTGTACTTTTTCTGAAATGCAAATCATTATTTAATAAAGCAATTAATGACGATCATGAAGAATTAAAATGAGAATTTTTATTTAACTTTGACGAGAATGCTAAACATACGTCAGTCTCGGCTTTCAACGCTTCGAGTTCCAACTTCTTCTTTCTAGTGAAGAACCCAATCTTTATTAAACCTAATACTAACAATATCAACAATACAATTCCTAAAATCACCGATAATGCTATTATCCACACAGCTATTCCTTGAGCTATCGGTGAACCTAGAAATGTTGTTGCAACCAAAGTAGCGTCCGGTTTATGATCTTCTCTTTGAGCAATATTATCAGGTTGCGTTATAGTAACGCTACCTTCAGTCACGTAAAATATAATGTCTTTATGCTTCAGTATGTCAGCTGTAATTAGAAAATATTCAAAATATATTCTTCTCTTATATCAGTTTCTTATATCATATTCTGTCATGTTATCTTATATATATATATATATTAATTAATAATATCTAGAGACACTGGTAGTGTCTCGACGCTAAGTTACGCGCAGCGACATTGCCGTAACTACTTTACGCGAGCCAGCGAGTTGAGATTATAGGATTATAGTGCCAGGGATTGAGATTATTGGATTTATATTTACCAGGAAAATTCGACAATTGCAAATCCAACGTCACCAAAAATTTCGCAACAGACAAAGAACTTAAAAATGGGCCCAGTCTACAAGTGATATGTACGCATTCAATTGCATTACTTGTGCAATTAATATAAAGCGTTCTGTTTTCAGATGGCACATTCATCTGCGTGTTTTCTTCTATGCTGAATTTCGCATGCGTGTTATTACTCGCGACGCTTGATGAATTCACAATTACATCATCCATGGATACAATCTTGTTAGTTGTAACGGAAAGTACTTCTGTTTGGTTTGAATCACTGCAATAAAATTGATATCCGTCCATTCTGCCGATAGTATCGTTGATACTGATGATCATTATGTCCTTGGCATCGGGTCGGCGGAGGTGCGTCGGAATTTTCACAGTCAATATTACTTCCTCAATAGGACTAGCGCCGAATTTTTGCACCTCATAGAAATGTTGAAACCTGATATCGTTCAACGGTTTCTTCTCGTCCTCGCGTAGATATGAGTATAAGTACTCCTGTGCTTTCCTAATAAAAACAATAATGAAAATAGAGAATTGTGATATATATAGAGTATTTTAGAACTTCTGAGACAAGCTTAGAGAGATAGATAATCTCATCAGCTTTTGTTAAGGAACTTATGTCCTCCGACATATTTTCAAGGAGCATCTGGTCGCGCTGATAATAATATTAGTTTACATCCTTTGATTTTATTTTTGTAAAAAGACAACAAATAAATAAAAACGTGGACTGATATTGTCGCGCGCAATGCGATCGATTGCGTACAGTCAAGTCGAATAAGAACACATACTCCTTAAAAATGCATCAAAAAGAGAAAGAGAGAAAGAGAATATAGATTTCTTAATAAAAGTTGATTCTTTTGATGAGATCTAGCATCCTCTGAAGTTTTTTCTAATGATCCTGAATTATTGTCATCGAGACCAACCCGGCGATTGCTATGTCGATGTCCACGTCAAAATACACAGTGATGGTATAACTATTGTCATCCCAATTCGCCTCATCGCTTTGAGTAGTAATATTCGCTTGTATTTCCACCTTCTTAACATCATACCTCACCATACTCATGTCCAGTTGCAGTGTTAATGTTTTCTGAAAGACAATGAGTTGAGTTATCTTTTATTCATCAATAGAGTCTACCCATATACGTGGGAGATCGTCGTACATTCGTTCTAAGAGGATTGCCGATATCGCAGGTTACATCCAGCGTGTTGCTCACGCGAGGATCCTCCGTACACTCGGGCGGGATACTCGCTAACGTTAAAACCTCGGTGAAGATGCGTACTCTGGTCTGATATGCCGGTTCATTGCGATTGTAAGCGTCGACGCGAAGAGTAATTATCGGCGTAGAACCAATGATGTACCTGTTGCCTAAAGTTGAATCAGTAGACAATGTCACACCGAGATTGGACACGCATATGTTGTCCTCGCCACAATCTACGGAGAATGGCAGCTTTATAAGATCCTCAGTCTTCGAGCGAAACTTGTTTATCACGACGCAAGATGCGCATAATGAGCTTTCGTTTCTTGCATGAAGATCATCTTCTAGCTGCATAGACACCGATATTTCCAGCGGATCTATTACATTTTGAATGTTCTCCTAAAACACAAAAATGTGAATTCAATATGCTGAAAAGATCAATATCAGTAAACATAAAAATGTATGCACCATTAGATGTATTTCAAGTAGATGACTTGTAATCGTAGCTTTAAACAGCGTGTAATACAATCTGTAAGTCTGTAGTCCGTCGTTACTTTTCTGTGCTCGATACATAGCCCTGCCATGCAATGGATCGATCTTCAGGACTGCGGTGACTTCTAGAGTGATAGACAACAAATTTGACGCTGACAGAGGAAAGCCGACTATATGTCGTATAATTGTATAAATATATAATAATTGTATAAATAAATAATAATTTAAAAAAAAATGACTCATAAATCAACAAATATATAGAATAAAGAATTATATACGTCGGTTGTGCTTACGTAGATATTCAGGTACGTATATGCCATCGTAAGACATCCAGAGATCGATCTTGAAGGTCGTTGTGTTTCTCAACAATTTGATCTTTTGCAGGTACGTCAATGTCACGTTTACCGTGACGACTGGCGCGGATCTCAGCAGGACCACTTCGCCGGATAGATACGCACCCACAGCGATATCAGAATGATTATCATGATTCACATCTCGAGGTTCCGAGATAGAGATACCGAATCCCCGTATTGTCGGCGAGAATCGCGAGCCGACTAGTCTCTGACTATATTTCCGAGAAACGCCGTCTCTATTTCCGTTGAATATGTACACCGCACCGCCGCTCTCTTCCTCGTAGGGTGCACCCACAGCGATGTCACCGTAGCCATCATAATCTATGTCACCCAGACACATCACGGTGGATCCGAATTTACCTCCGATAATCTCGCCTTCGAGCGTTTGCAGTTCTTCTAAATTGTTCTGAATTTTGCGCAAAATATAATTTTTAGAGAGTTAAATATGTTCTTTTAATTTTCAATTATAAAGAATATTCAGATCTACTAAGAAATTCTTTAAATGAATAACTCTATCAGATATAGTGCTTTATAGCGAACTTTTCTATGATAATCGCTTATTATACAGAAAGATTGTATAGATAAAAAAGATAGTTGAAAGTTTAAAACTATGCTGATGAAAAAAAAAGTCAAATTTAAATTTGAATAAAATTATTCTCTCATTAATCTGTAAATAACATACATTGTGTCGCGCTGTAAAAATGTAGACATGACCCTCGTCCATGTCTCTGGACCATTGTGGTGCACCGACGATTAATTCCTGTCTACGGTCATTATTGACATCGCATGACGTTAATGCAGCACCGAAGTATTCACCATATTGTTGACCGTACAGTATCGTTTTAATAAACATACGCTGATTAGTTTTAGGGGGAAAGGTAAACACGAGGACTTTTCCATACACATTAGCGGCTTGTGGTGCACTAGAAGCATACCAAACATCTTGCTCATTGAAGTAAATACCCGCTGTGATAGCGTACCCTGAAAACCACCATGGATATATATACATGAATCTGATTTACAAGGTAAATACAGGAATAATACTAATAGTCGGACATTAGATTTTGACTTGAAAAAATATATTTAATAAAATTTGTTATCTTTATAATAAAATAAATATTTTTAAAATGCAAATATTAATTTATATACATTTTTCCTATCTCGCTTTAAAATTGTTTATAATCGAACAATTATAATAACATAGAAAAAAAATTCTGTTTTGAATAACTGACATATATTCGTCCATTGCTACGTTTATCTTGAAAGAAAAGTAGAAGAAATATATCTTTACCGAAGTAATTGTAACTATGAATCCGCGGCTCTCTAGCGAGGGAGGGAATTACCGTGCGCGAAAATGGACCGTTCATTGGAGCAACAGCTAATATCGCATCGCCTTTCCAATTGTAAACGCCTGGACTACCTATTGCGACA